GACTTTTTTGCCAAAATCTCTCGAGAATTTGTAAAATGGGCATAACTTTTGCGTACGAACTCGGAAGAAAAAGTTTTTTATATGAAAAATCATCTACTCGAAAAGTTACATCATGTTTGTAAATCTTGATCTGGTTCCTCTTGATCTTTAGCAGCTTCACCCGTTGCAGCATCATTGGGCACATCGTCTGGTTCTTCTTGATCTTCAGCAGCTTCACCCGTTGCAGCATCATTGGGCACATCGTCTGGTTCCTCTTGATCTTCACCAGCTCCCCCCGTTGCAGCATCACCATATTCAGGGGGCACATAGTTGTCATCGTACTCTTCTTCTTCACCGTCTTCCATCATAACCCCTATTTCTCCGTGCCTCGTCCAAACATTATAGTGTGGCATGAAACCCTTGTAAAGCAGGTGGGAGTGAAGGATTTTCTGGTTAGAGTAAGACCTCGTATTCCCACATTCAGTGCATGGACAACACATAAAACCATTCTCCTTGTTTGCCTCAGCCGCATCGAGAAACTCATGCACACCCGTAATGTACTCGCAGGTGTGTCTGTCACCGTACATCCATTGCCGGTTCATTTGCGTGCATTATATATAATTAAGAGTCCAAATTAATAGAAGTTCATCATCACATTAAAACCAAAGTGCATACATAGTTCTCATCTAACAACTTATAGCTCTCCAGATCATCTAATTAATTAAACCATACATTGAAACTATGTGAAACATTTCAGTGCGAAAACAAATGCGATCATAATCGCAACCAAGGTAAAAATTGATCCAACGGCATAATGATACCAAGCCTCGGTATGAATGGCATATTTTCTAATCTTTCTAATCTTCAAGCGCATTGCATCCATCTTGATCTTGCACTAGTAGAAAAAGGGGCTTTGGTCCAGCCAGAAAAGAGCATTAATCCCGGTTGCATTACGAATCGGGACTAATGTAAGCATTAGTCCCGGTTCAAGCGGCGAGGGCACCATACAGACATTACTCCCGGTTGCCACGAACTGGTACTAATGGGGTTGAGACCTTTAGTACCGGTTCATGCCACGAACCGGCACTAATGGTGCAATTTTCAAATCCTACCCCCCCCCCCTGGTGCATCGCCTTTTCAGTTTTGTAAAAAGCAAAAGAAAATGATAGAAACTTCAAAATTTAAAATCCTTCGAGATGTAGTTATGTTACTACATCTACTAGTTAGGAAAATTTTAAAACTTAAATTTGGACATGTTTTGCAAAAAGTGTAGGGAAAATGTAAAACGGCTATAACTTTTGCATACAATGTCAGAAAAAAAACATATAATATACCAAAATGTTCAGAACAAAAACCCGCATCCGATGGAGACCGCCGACGGCTTGTTTGCAAATTTTTAGAATCCTCAAATTCTAAAAGGAAAAAAAGTTATGCTCAAATTTCAGTTTTTTTTTTGAATTTTTGTTAAATCTGGTCAAACTATGGTCAAACTACTTATTCAAGAAGTATTAGTGTTACTAAATAATTATTCAAGAATATTAGTGTTACTAAATAATTATTTCAGTTTTTCTAAATTTTTGTCAACTATGGTCAAACTGTGGTCAAACTACTTATTTAAGAAATATTAGTGTTACTAAATAATTATTGATTTTTACAACAATAGTTTCAAACTCAAACAGTGAAATGTGTGACTTCATGCTCAAGCTAAATTCCTGAGGGTTAATAGGATTGACATCTTACTATTGTCAGGAAAACAACAAATGCAGACTTGGAAACGAGGGAGAATAGAACCCGGAAGTTAAGCGTGCTCAGGCTGGAGTAGTGAGAGGATGGGTGACCGTTTCGGAAGTTAGATGATTTGGAATGATGAGTGGTGATTAGAGATTAAAGGTTAAATTGAGCAGTGATGAGGGGTGATTAGAGATTAGAGGTTAAAATAATTCAGAAATTTGAAATTCAAAAAAAAATTTAAAAAAAAAACCATAAAATTTCCTTTAGTACCGGTTGGTGTTACCAACCGGGGCTAAAGGTGGACCTCCAGGCAGCGGCCACGTAGAGGGTCTTTAGTCCCGGTTCCAGTTAGAACCGGGACTAAAGGGGGAGGCTTTAGTACCGACCCTTTAGTCCCGGTTCCAGAACCGGGACTAAAGGCCCTTTTTCTACTAGTGTTGTGATCATCGACGACATCCGCAACATGGAACTCCAATATCATCTTCTCCTCCTCATTTTTTTTATTTTTTCCTTCAACAAATTGTTTTCTTCTTCAACTAAATTTAACCTCTCGACAATAGGGTCGGTTGGCATTTCCGATTCACATACATCCTACATAAATAAAATCTATGTCACGTTGGTCGGCATAATTTTGATAAACCATAAATGAACCAATAGTTATAAAGATAACATATATACCACATCCGAATCATGGACAGGACGAGGGCCGATGGGGGCGGATACCAAAACCATCGCACTATATAAGATGCAATAATAAAAATAAGAAAATAATACAAGTATCTATGTAAACATACAAGTAAGAATATTTTCCTTTCAAAAAGAAGATAAGAACAAGAGGCTCACCACAGTGGTGCCGGCGATGAGCTCGGCGCGGGTGATCGACGGCGGTGAAGACGGGGACGGGGCGTGACGGACCGCTAAACCTAGACAAATATTGTGGAAAATGGAGTTTGGAGGTCGAGCTTGGAGAGGAGAAAGCTTAAGTAGTGTGACTCGGGCATTCCATCGAACACCTTGTGTGCATATGAGGTGAGCTAGAGCACCACCAAGCCCTCTCCCCCTCGGCCAGAAAAAAACAGAGCAGTGTGCTCTGCTCTTACGCGAGGGGGTATATATAGGCAATTCATTGGTCCCGGTTGATGGCATGAACCGGGACTAAAGGGGAGCCTTTGGTCCCGGTTCAAGCCACCAACCGGGACCAATGGTGGTGGGCCAGGAGCGAGGCCCATTGGTCCCGGTTCGTCCCACCAACCAGGACCAAAAGGTCCAGATGAACTGGGACCAATGGCCTACGTGGCCCGGCCTGCCCCCTGAGCTCACGAACCGGGACCAATGCCCCCGTTGGTCCCGGTTCTGGACTGAACCGGGACTAATGGGCTAACCCGCCTGGACCAAAGCCCTGTTTTCTACTAGTGTCTGCAGTTTTTTGTTTGCAAGGATGAACTAACAGCATGTGTCCACATTTGTTGAAAAAACACAAATTCATGCTCAGTTGCCAGAAAGTCAGTCCGATGCAGACTGGCATAGCGTACCTATGTGAATTGCGAACACATATCGTGCTAGCACGATTTTACGTGAGCGCATGACTGTGTACGTCGCCTCATTTGGCCAACTTGGTTGTGCTATCGCAAATGCCCACGTAACACTTGCCGTATAGTTCGGGTAGAGGTCGTAAACCCATTAGCAGTTGTACCTGTGGCCAGACATGGCTCCGTCACATGCGTATTGGGTAGTGCATTGACTGAATTGAAGTAACCCTTTGTGTGTGGCAAGTATGTACAATATTGCATTGGCTTCGTTGTATTGTTAAAAACTAATGCAGTCACTATTTGCTGCTTTTCAATCTTTTATTGCATTGCATGGTGCTTGCTTGAGAAGGATAAATTTCGCGACTGTTGTTGCCTGTTGATTATCATGAAACCCGGTAATGTGAATCCTCACAATGATTTATCGGCGCAGCAAAGCGCGTGTTTGCTTCTAGTCCGGTATGACAGTGGGGTGACACCCTATTGGTTTCTACCTTCGGCTTCCTGTCCAAACTGACCATCTACGACCCTTCATTGTAAATGAACTGCTACGGCTGTAGAGAATTATATCACTTGCAATCCTGTTTTTTTGAATTTTCTACTACAAGGGATTTGGTCTTTACTTTACTTCTAAGTCACTCCCTTGTAGTATCTCTTTGTATAGACTGTCCTCACGAAACACACACCACATTACTTTGGTTTTATGTTTATTAAGCACGAGCATAAATACATACAATCATACATTCACCTTTATGAACACATGCATACCTTCATTCTATAAACATACATGAGATACTGAGCCGACAAGTTTTGAGACTGGGGGAAATCAGCGAACAACTAGAGGCTCGTTCAGAAATACACTCGTCGTTCGATTTATTCCATGGAGAATAGCAGGAAAGCAGATAAAACGTTGTAGTACTGCGGAATAGTCAACGGTGGATGCGTACGTGCGAAAACGTAGGGCAGCGCTGCTCTAGGCTCTAGCTAGCGCTACTACGCGTTGTAACGTAGCCTCTGGAGCAGCGCGGACCGGAGGACGCCGTCGCCGTCGTTGTCCTGTAGGGCAGCGGGCACGTCGACGACGACGTCCTGCACGGTCACGCCCTCCACGCGGTTGACGCACGCGTGCTGCACCTGCAGCTCTAGCGACCTGAGCGCACTCATCAGCCGCGCCGGCGCGTGTGGGCCTTGTCCCGAGCTCATCACGCGCACTGCCGCCGCGTCCTTCCCCACCATCCGCACCTCGACCACATCCTCGCCGGTCAAGTGGTGCAGGGAGGCCCCGGCGTGGCCGCCCCAGGACGAAGAAGCGGACGCGTTCGACGCCTCCCACCTCCCGGCGGCCGCCTGCCGGCCCTCTTCCTCGAGCCGCGCGACGCAGGACCGCAGGTCGGTGATGTAAGCTACGGCGTCGGCGAGGAGGGAAGCCTTGTCCATGCGGGACACCCTGGGCACGGCGGCGCGGAGGTCGCAGAACAGGCGATTCAGCTTGTCGCGGCGCTGCCTCTCGGCCTCCACGTGGCTGAGGGTGGGCCCCTCAGGCCGCGGCCCGGGCTTCCGCCCACGCCGCTTCGTCGTCGATGCCTGCAGGCTCTCCCCCGGCAACTCGGAGTCGGGGGACACCGAGGAGCTCCCAGCAGGCCACACGTAATCTCCGTCCTCGCTCTTGGCCGGCACGACGGTGTCGCGGACCAGCCATTGCTCGGGGACCTCGCAGGAGGCGAGCTCGAAGGCCTGGTGGTGGTGCCCCTCGGCGGTGGAGAACAGAGAAGGCGGCGATGACGGGAAGAAAGGGGAGTACGGGGATAGAAGCTCGTCCATGGCCGTCGCGGACGTGCGTGTCGCTCCGCTAAGTGAAGAGGTCGAAGTGGTGAATTAGCGCAGGGGCTGCAGCCGTGTTTTGTACTGGTGATACATTTGCGGTTAAGACCTCGCTTAAATGGCGTATCACGTTAAAGGTACCTGTCCTTTTCAATTTGAATTCCTCCCGCAGAATACATGTCCGCTAATTTAGGATCGGAAGTTTGGAACCAATAGCTAACTACAAGACGTAGTAATTTGTAAGACAGTTTTTCTGGAAGTGAATTTCGAAATTGGGCCGGCCGACTGGGGTGAGAAGGAAGCAGACGACGTCGGCAAGTCCTCGGACAGGAACAGGCCGTAGCCGACGGAGTCGAGTTTGAAACTTGACTATTGGAGGTGGGGGAGATGTAGGTTCCTCGGTTTAGAGGGATGGCTGGGGCGACGGCAAACACTGCAATGTGGGAGGTCGATGGGAGGGTGTGGCGATGCAGTGGTCGTGGGAGTGTGGCCGGCCCCATACGGTGGAGGCAGGCGGTTCAACCGGGGCTGGATTGGCGGTTGTTAGAGGAAGAAGAGGAACAATGCATACTGGTTCAAGCTGAAAGACGATGCAGGATCCGTTGGATGATCAAACGGTAACATGAAAAATCAACTCAGGACTTGCCCCTAGCCAGTCCCTTTGTAAGAGTGTTTTCACCTTAATAATTTGATTTGTAGATACTGAAGACCAAATTAAGTGAGAGCACACATGAGTATGTTGAAGTGATAAATAAACTAGAGTTAAATTATCACATGGTCCCACAAAAAAATTATATACACATGGAAACATATGTAACTAACAATGACAAAATTATGTTAACTCGGCAAGCAGACATGTATTGAGTTGATTTCCCGGTGTCTCTTCTCTGGGTGAAGTATGTTTATGTGGAGAAATGTTCATTGACAGGCATTATCCTTTACAAGCACTCTTGCTATTATCCTTGAGCATTTGCGCGAAGAATCTACATAGAGTTGCTTACCTTGGGGGTTTCTGAAGGAAATATGTCCTAAAGGCAATAATAAAGTTGTTATTTATATTTACTTACATCAAGATAAATGTGTATTATTCATGCTAGAATTGTATTAACTGGAAACTTAGTACATGTGTGAATACATAAACAAACGGAGTGTCACTAGTATGCCTCTACTTGACTAGCTCGTTAATCAAAGACGGTTAAGTTTTCTAACCATGGACAAGAGTTGTCATTTGATGAACGGGATCACATCATTAGAAAATGATGTGATTGACTTGACCCATCCGTTAGCTTAGCACTATGATCGTTTAGTTTATTACTATTGCTTTCTCCATAACTTATACATGTTCCTATGACTATGAGATTATGCAAATCCCAAATATCGGAGGAACACTTAGTGTGCTATCAAACGTCACAACGTAACTGGGTGATTATAAAGATACTCTACAGGTGTCTCCGATGGTGTTTGTTGAGTTGGGTCACTCCGATTGTCGGAGAGGTATCTCTGGGCCCTCTCGGTAATGCACATCACTATAAGCCTTGCAAGCAATGTGACTAATGAGTTAGTTACGGGATGTTGCATTACGGAACGAGTAAAGAGACTTGCCGGTAATGAGATTGAACTAGGTATTGAGATACCGACGATCGAAACTCGGGCAAGTAACATACCGATGAAAAAGGAACAATGTATCTTATTATGCGGTTTGATCGATAAAGATCTAGTAGAATATGTAGGAATCAATATAAGCATCCAGGTTACGCTATTGGTTATTAACCGGAAGTGAGTCTCGGTCATGTCTACATAGTTCTCGAACCCGTAAGGTCCGCACACTTAACGTTCGATGACGATCGGTATTATGAGTTTATGTTATTTGATGTACCGAAGGTAGTTCGGAGTCCCGTATGTGATCACAGACATGACGAGGAGTCTCGAAATGGTCGAGACATAAAGATCGATATATTGGAAGGCTATGTTTGGACATCGGAATGGTTCCAGATGAGTTCGGACATTTACCGGAGTGCCGAGGGGTTACCGGAACCCCCCGGGGAGTCAATGGGCCTTAATGAGCCCTAGTGGAGAAAGAGGGCCGCAGGCAAGTGGTGGGGTGCCCCCCAAGGCCCAAACCAAATTGGTTTAGGGTTTGAGGGGGCGACCCCCCTTTCCTTCTCCTCTCCTCCTCTTTCCTCCTTCTCCTAGTAGGAATAGGAAAAAGGGGGGGGGGGGCAAACCTACTTGGAGTAGGATTGCCACCTCTTGGGCGCGCCGCCTCCTAGGCCGGCCATCTCCTCCTCCCCCCTTTATATACGGGGGAGGGGGGCACCCCATAGACACACAAGTTGATTGTTGAGCCATGTGCGGTGCCCCCCTCCACAGATTTCCACCTCGGTCATATCATTGTAGTGCTTAGGCGAAGCCCTGCATTGGTAACTTCCTCATCACCATCATCACGCCATCGTGCTGACAAAACTCACCCTCGACCTCAGCTGGATCTAGAGTTCGCGGGACGTCACGTTTGTTGCTAGGATCGGTCGGATCATGAAGACATACGATTACATCAACCGCGTTGTCATAACTCTTCCACTTTCGGTCTACGAGGGTACGTGGACAACACTCTCCCCTCTCATTGCTATACATCACCTAGATAGATCATGCATGTGCGTAGGATATTTTTTGAAATTACTGTGTTCCCCAACAGTTTGAAGTGTTTTTGAGCTCCCCGCTGCCATCTTTGACTCGGGTAAAGCAGGGAAGATAATAGAATTTTTTTCCAGCGAGCCAAAGTCGACGTGCGTGGAAGCAACAAGGAGCCTAGTAGGGCTATGTCGATGGAGGCTGGATGTTAGGATATGGGTCGAGACACTCTTTGTCAGGTAGAGAAGAATTAGGGTGTCTGTAATTGGAGTATCATAGCTACTATCATGTAGTCAATTAAGCAATTTTGATGAGGTGGCGTAGAATTAAATGAAGAAAGAAAAGGTCGAGTATCATATAATGATATCATATCATAATAAATATAGTACTACTACGTGTCTTGCATGATAATAAATAAGATCATCTAGAATACTAATCTATGATACTATGCATTGCGGAGGTAGTATCATGCACTAGTATCATATTCAAGATGCTAACTTATGATACTACCAACTACTGGCGGCCTTAGTCCACCCTAATGTCTTGTACAGTAGTTTGTAAGGAACTTTTATTTTAAGTTTTCCATGTAATTTAAAGATGACATTAATATGATGTAGTATGAGTTACCTCCTAGCATTATCTCTAGTAAGTAGATATATTGAAATGTATGATGAGAGATATCATTGGTAAGAGATCATCTATTTATTAAGAGAAGGCAAACATTTTCTAATTTCACTTTCTTGCACACCTCAATATTCATCCTATGTGGCATTCTCAGATAACACCATTGTACACACCTTAGGCATATAGAGGGATGGTTGCAGGTGATGTTGATGGATGCATGGTAGAATGCATGGTGAGAAAGTGTTATTGAAATGATCAATATGGAAAGGGAGAAGGGAGAAAAAATGTATCTCTACTCACCACTATCTCTGCTACTTAAAAAAATCTACAGCTGGACTTGACAAATCCGGCCTCCTATACGTCCGCGGGGGCTTCCGGGCACGTCCGCGGGCAGCGCCCGCCGATCCCTTATATGTTTGCACCCTATATCCACATACCTCAAATTCCGGTCCACAAATCCATGCAATGCATGCACGTCGATCATATGATTCAAATTGTTCGAATTCGAAAATTCGAAACAAAGAAAAGCAAATCATAGTTCAACAAACCGGATGCATGTGTCAATATGAAATCAATGTCCGAGCGTGATGGATGGCCTTGGATCACTGGCCGGGCGCCTGCTCCGAGCAGAATATGTCTTGCTACAGGCGGAATGCGTCAGGGCTGCCTGCTCCGCCTGCATCCATGCCGCAGTCCCCCTCGCCGCCTCATAGTCCCTACGGTCATTGATCTCCTTCTTCTTGTCTGCAAGCCACTTCTTCACATGCTCATCCAAGAGGGTTTCGTCCGCCAACATGATCCTTGCATCGTCCGGGTCCCGTGCGAGTTGCAACCTTTCCTTCTCAAGCTCTATGTCGCCAAATGTCTTGTCCTTCTCGAGTTCCCATTTGATCGATGCCTATTGCTTCTCTGAAATGGTTTGCAGGCATTGATCATGTGCGAATAAACTTGTGGTCTATGCAAATATCTGACTGAACATGAGCAAATAAAAAGCATTGACTCTTGTTCAGTCATTCTGTCAAACATGTCCACGGCAGCCCAAGCACTACCAGTGCTCATGCTCATCCGCGCCCGAATGAGCTGCAATGAGTCACATACGTCCACCGCCGGCATCTACATGAGTGGAAAGCTCTCCGAAATGGCCTAGTCGGCCGTCAAATCTTCCTCTATCCCTGTCCCAACGGGGTCGGACGGCGTTATCCGCATCAGCGCTCAGATGGAAGGGGTCCGGAGATCCAGGCACGGTCGAGGAGACAACTGCTCCACCATGTCTGAACCGCCATGCGATGACGCCGCCGCCTCCCTGTCTCACTACCGGCATTGTCGCAACTTTTGGGCGAAGCTCTCCGCCTTGCAAGTCGCAGCCGACGAAGGGACGCGGACAGACGAGGTGGACTACGTCTCCGTCGCGATGGTCTGGTTCGGGCTGGATGATATCTTTAGTAGTGGATCGGGCCCTATGGTGAGGATTGGGAGTAGGGGTGGAGGATGACAAGGGTTCGGGTGCGAGAAATGTTGGAGAGCGGTGGGAGGAGGAGTGAGGTTTGGGTGGATTTGATGCAGTTTGCGGTGGGGTTGGGCTGTCAGGTCCGATGTGGCGGGCGTGCCCGGGCACGCCTGGGCGCCCCATATCCGCCCCATATTTGGGTTGGATATGACGTGTGCCCATCAGCCCGAGCGTTTGATGCCCGTTTTAGGAGTCTGTCTGGGTCAAAAAATCATGACCGATCAATGACCGGGTGGCCCGC